CGAGAGAGAGAGAGGGAGAGAGGAGAGAGAGAGAGAGAGAGAGAGAGAGAGAGAAGAGAGACACAGAGACAGAGAGGAGAGGAAGGGGGAGGGAGGAAGGGAGAGAGAGAAAGATGATCTTAATCAAGGTAGAATCGGATTAATCAGCAAAGGTTTCTTGGCATAGGCAAATTCTGGTCCCACACAAAAGACACAATAGCCATGGATTAACAGAGAGGGAGGGAGTTCATTTCAAGTAGTTTGAATACCACGAGCCAAAATATACAGGATGATGGACTGAGAGCCAGAAAGGGCCTCAGGTATCATCTAGTTGAACTCCTCATTCCACAGATAAGAAAACTGAACCCCATGAAGTTTAAGTGATTTGGCCAACGTCATACAGGTGGCAAATCCAGAGAACCCAGGTTCTCTGACTCCAATTTCATTGCTCTTTCCACTCTACCCTCAGTCTATGAGCCTCAGAATTGGAGATAGAATAATATTCTTCCTCCTGCTTGTTAGAGTCAATTGAACTGGACTAAATGATGTACAGTCCTTTTCTAGGCATATCACAAATAGAATCCAATTCCTCATGTATATGAGCACACAAGCCTGTTGATGAACCCTACAGGTGTAAAATCCTGTTTTTTCTTGGGCCAGTATAATCCTTCACCTATAATTACACTGAGTAAAGACTGTCAACTTCAGTGTTAACCCTTTCTAATCCAACATGCATCATTGAAAGTTGGCTTAACTCTTACAAGCCATTCTGTTAACAGAAGTGTGGTGTCTGGAGGCTGCAGCTGAACTTTATGACCATGAAATGAATAAATCAAGCACCAGCTTATTATATAATATGCACTAAATCATTTGCCATCTCTAGACTCAATTTCCTCATTTGTAAAACAGAGGGGCTGAACCTCGCAGCCTCTTAAGGCCACTTCTAACTGTAAAACACCATGTTTCTTTGTCAGTGATAAGTCCAGATTTAATAAAACCTCGGGCAACTTTCTTTATTCCAAGAGAGTACAATAGAAATTTAAAAACCCAAGTTGATTGCTTCTTCAGCTCCATAACAAACCTTCCCCGCCTGCTATTTTAAGGATTTTTAAAAGTTCTCACATTTTACCCAATGTTTAGCCTTTGCAAATTCCATTGACATTGCCGAATATTTTCTCTACTATCCTTCTTCTTGTTAGTCATTTTAGAATAAAAAGAGAACCAGTAATCTTTTTTTTCCAGTCCAGAGCTCACTATTTTGTATTTTGTGGTTAATTTCACTCTTTTTATACTTTTAGGTTCGAGTAATGCTGGATTTATGTAACAGCACCAAAGGGATCTGCTTAACAGGTATGCTTGCAGAGTCAGTAAACTGTTCAGTCTTATATGTTGAAAATGCACACTAGTAGAATTCCCAGCTGCAGAATTATTACTGGGAGAAAAGAAAGAATTATTCTGAAAATGACACTTTGGTTTACTTTCAGAGATATTATATAATTGGGGGGGGAAATCCTAATATGGGTAGTCACTATGAAATGTCACATTTGCAGTATTGATACTGAAACGCTTACTTCAAGGGGATTTAGTTACAGTAAGAGACTCTTAATTCCGACAATAAATTAGAAACTTGCAATAATTTGAACAGAGCCGTGGATTTTTGCCTTAGTACTAAGCAAAAGAACCTTACTAACAAACTAACAGCATAAATGAGATGTCAAAAGCAATGTTCAAAAAAAATTTTTTTAAAGCAATGTTTACCAACTCAGGAGGAAGAATGCCTTTCAAACTTATTAAAGTGAACATCATTTCTGTATGCACACACAACGTACAAAACAACAGTAAAAGTCAAGGTTAACACTACTTAAGTTGGGTCTAACCAACAGGTCAATCCAAAAAAAAACCCAAACCCACCCTGCTGTGTGGCTAGGCCTATGATAGGACCAAGGCCTCCCCTAGGGTAAGTGGAACAAGTGAAATTCCAGCCTAGTTTCCCATCATTTTTGCACAAATGAGGTTCAAACAAAAATGAAGAAAAGTGCCAATTAGGTGAAGAGGTCACAAAGAGGTCACAACCTTGGCAGAAGGGAGGATGGAAGGGGATATAATAGTCATGGGGATCATAGCTGATGAAACCCATTTTTCTGAACCTTTTTCTATTCCTTTGTTCCTTTCCCTGATCCCTCTGCTCTTTGAATAAAGGATGCTCTCTTTCTGACCTCATCCACTCTCATAGCTTCAGTATTACCTCTAAGAAGACAAATGCCAACAGAGTGCTGGAATTGAAGTCAGGGAGACCTGGGTTTGAGTGCTTCAGACGCTGACTACCTGTGTGCCCCTGGGCAAGTTACATAACCTCTTCAAGACTCAGTTTGTTCTACCTGTAAAATGGAGATAATGATACCTGTACTACCTAGCTCACAAGAAAACATTAGAAACCTTACAGCACTATAAAAATGTAAGATATGATTATCTGATTAGATTGTATCTCATATGATTAGATAATGTGATTATCTAATCAGTTATAAAGTCCTCTTGCTTCTACCCCACAAATATCTTTTGCATCCATCCCTTCTATTCCATTTCCACTGCCACCATCTCTCTCTTTTACCTCTTACCTGAGCTACTGTAAGGGCCTCCCACCTGGACTCTCTACTTCCAGTCTCTCAGCTCCAATCCCTCTGTGATCCACTGCCAGGTTAATTGTCCTGAAGTACAACTCCATCCTATCATTCCTTTTATTCAGTAATTGCCAGGGATTTTCCAGTGCATGCAAAATAAAGTGCCAGCTTCTTAGTCTGACATTCAAGGCTTTCAATAGCATGGCTCTGAAGCTGCCTTCCCTTATCTCCCAAAGTACCCTTTCACAAACCCTATGTTCCATCCATGTAGCAGCTAGGTGGCACAATAGATAGAGTGTTGGGCCTGGAGTCAGGAAGACCTGAGTTCAATTTCAGCCTCAGATACTTACTAGATGTGTGACCCTGGGCAAGTCAGTTAACCCTGTTTACATCAGTTTCCTCATCTGTATAAAATGAGCTGGAGAAGGAAATGACAAACCAGTCCAGTATCTTTGCCAAGAAAACCCCAAAAAAGGGCCAAGAAGAGTCAGACACGTCTGAAAAAAGACTAAACAACAAATACTCCCTCCAAACTCACACTATTTGTCGCTCAGTCTGCGCTTTTCTGCCTCTAAGGCCTTTGCTCGTGCAATTCCCACTACATGGAGTTGGCTGTCCCTTCCCCTCCCCTTCTCTCTACCTCTCCCCAACTACCCACATGAGTCAGATCCCGCCTAGCCTTCACTGTCCAGCTCATATACCCTACCTTCTTCTCTACGTGGGCCTCACTGTGATCTCTCCAGCAAGAGGTAGCTTCTTCTTCTTCTGAACTCCCAAGACACTTTATACTTCTCTCATAGCATTAACCACATTCTACCTTGCACCATAGTTATTTTATGCATTATCCTATTTTTCCCCTTCCTCCTCCTCCCCTCACCCCCAACTAGACTGTCAATTTCTTAAGGGCAGGAACTCTATGATAGTATTTTTATTCCCTTTTGGAGTCGAGAACAGGAGTTCTTAACCTGGCATCCATGAACCAACCTCACCCTGCCAGGGGTCCGTGGATAGATTTTAGGGGGTCTGTGAACTTGGATGGGAAAAAAATACATCTTTATTTTCACTAACCTACAACTGAAATTTACCATTTCCTTCCATTATAAATTTTTAAAAATATATTATTCTGAAAAAGGGTCTATGGACTTCATCAGACTTCCAAAGGAGTTCACCACACACAAAATGTTATAAACACCTAGAATAGTATAAAAATGTTAATGTTTAGTGACTGAAGTAATGTCTATATATATATATGTGTGCCTTAGGGGTTTGGGTTTTTTTTGGAGGGGGGGTCTCATAAGCTGATGATAGCTACTTCTTTCTGCCTAGCCGCCTGCCATCTTGATCCACTGTAGCTACAATGGTGCAACAGATAGATCACTGGACCTGGAGTTAGGAAGACCTGAGTTCAAATTCTGTCTGAGATACTTAGTGGCTGTGTGACACTGGCTCTGGGTTTCCTCATCTATAAAATCAATGGACTCTGATGACCTCTGAGGTTGTTTCCAGCTCTTTATCTGGTATCCTATATAGTCCTATAAATTGGAGGTGGGTAGGGGAATAAGGATTGCAAGGGCAAAGCCTTGGACTGATGGTACCTCAGAGGTACAAAAGAAGGAGAAGACATGGTCATTGTCTTTAGGAGCTTACACTGGAGTTAAGATCATACTTATGTGTTCATCATGGCAGAAACACCACTAAGCAGCACTTGGTGAGCTTAAATGTAGTTACTTGTGTTGCTTACAGGAGAAATCTGCATTACCCTGGTCTGGCAGGTTGATAAACAGGTAAAAAATTATCCAATTCATCAACAAGCTTTTATTTTTTAAGGCAGAGCTAAGTGACTTGTCCAGGGTCACACTGCTAATAAGTGTCTGAAGCCAGAATTAAACACAGGTCTTCCTGACTCCAGTGCCAGAGCTCTGTCCACTGTGCCACTTAGCTGCCCCAACAAGCTTTTATTAAGGGCCTGGAATCATACAGTCAGAGCTTAAAAAGGTTGCCCTTAAAAGTCAACCAGGCTAACCCTTCTCATTTTACATTTGAGGAAACCGAGGCTCAGAGAGGTGATTTGGATAGATCCAGGACTTTTACCCAGTTCCTCTAATTCCCAATCCAACACTTAGTGAATTGATATAATTGGCTTTAAGAATACAAAAGAGATCCTGGAGTTCAGGAAGCTTACATTCTATTTTGGCAAGGTAGTTGGTTCACTGAGCAGGCTCAGAAGCTAATGTATTTACCATCCATTTCATCCTGCCCTACTAATTGTTGGCACATAGTAGGCATTTAATAAATGTTTATTGATTATTGATTGATTGATCATGGAGGCTGCTCAATAAATATTAATTGATCTAAACTAATACAATTTCAGGCTGTACAATAAACATCTTTGGGGGAAAATACCTGTTTTTCTTTTTCTTTTTTTTTTTACCCAAAGATTCTGTGGCTTGAATATCTTCCATTCCCTTCCTTGGCATGTGACCATGATGGGTACTAAAGAAATGAGTGGAAAAAAAAAAAGAAATGAGTGGATAAGTGAAATTACAAGCACAAAATCGCTGCTAAAAGAGAAAAGCCGTTTCTTTCACCCTTTTCCCAATTTATTTTATGATGATAAAATGGCTTCTGCGCTAAGCAGTGAATGCTGTGTGATGAGGCTATTGAGAACACTTAGAGCTGAATTGTGATTGTACAAGGGGGTGGGGAAGACGAATCATATCTTTGCTGGAAATTGGTTGAGGTTGTTAATACTTGGCACCTCAAAATGCTATGAAAAAGCAGGCTCTTTCTGCTTTCCCCTCTGCCTTGAAAATGGGCCTGATTTTACTTGGAAAGCTCTGTAATTAAAACTTAGCTATGCGAAGTACAGATTTGAGAGACGAATGAGTGCCAGATGCCTCAGAACTGACCCAGGCTCTCGGGTTTCAGGGTGGGAGTCTTTGATAGCCTGACATGTTATGGACATGGAGTCGACTCATAGAATGTGTGAGCAGGTCCAGCTGTGTCAGATGAGCATGTGGGAACCATAAACACAGGAGAAAAAAAAACAGTAAAATTTATTATTAGAGCTAGAATAAACCTGAGGTCATTGAGCTCAACCTCTTCATTTTACAGATTAAGAAACTGAGGTCTAGATAATGTAAGTCTTGCCCAAAGCGGTTAAGGATTTGCCTAAAGTCACACTGGGAGCCAGTGGCAGAACAGAGATTTGAACCCAGATTCTCTGAATTCAAACCCAACACTCATTTGTTAGGTTGCGGAGGCTGAAGAAGCCAGAGCAAGGAGATGGCCAAATTTGGGGTCAAGAGTTAGGGAGGGAGAGTAAGTTCAGACTTTGAACCAGAAATTATCTTTACCAGGGCAGGTCATTGTAGCTTGACTTGAGTCTGGTTAGCTGTGAATGCAGATCCTGCTCCTTTCCCTTCCCTTGGGTCTCTGTCAGTGGTTGCTGTGGAGATAAGAAAAGATACTGAAGTTGGTGTGGCATCCACCACGAGGCAAGTACATGTGTCTAGTTGTCTGTGGCACAGGCTCAAGTTACATGGATGCATTAAGTGTTTAGAAACTCTGAGGAGTGAGAGTTCTGCTATGCTCTGCCCTGTTCCAACAACTGGACTAATAGATTCGGTTCTGAGTGCCATGCTTTATTAAGGATGTCAGCAAACTGGAGAGCTTCCAGATGGAGGGTGACTCAGATGGAGAGGAGACTCAAAATTATGCCACACAAGGATCAGTTGAGGGAACTGGGGATGTTAGCCTAAGGAAGAGAAGAGAAGGGGGGGGTCATGATGGTGGTCTTTAGGCTTTTGGAGGGCTGTCACACAGACAATTAAGTTCTTCTGCTGAGAGCCAGAGGGCAGAATGAGGAACAATAGGTAGAAATTGAAAAAAAAAACTTGAAAAAACTTCCCAAGAATCAGAAATTAGGGTTAGATAGAAGCCTTAGGACAGGGGTAGGGAACCTGTGGCCTTGAGGCCACATGTGGCCCTCTAGGTCCTCAAATGACAACCTTTGACTGAATCCTTAATAAAAGGATTTGTTCTATAAAACTTGGGCTCAGTCAAAAGGCCACACTCAAGGACCTAGAGGGTCACACACGGTCTTGAGGTCCCAGGTGCCCCACCCCTGTGCTTAGGAGGTATCACACAGATCATAGGATCATAGCATCATCCCTATGGTTTCCCCTACTAGATTGGTAAGGGCTATAACTCGTTTATAATTTAGTAGGCATAATTTCTACATTAATAGACATAAATTCTATAAATATAAATCTATATCAATTCTATTATTTATAACAACTATTTGTGTTCATAGCTGGAACTATTAGCTAGCTAACCAGCTCTTCTTTGGTCTATTCTCAGGGTGAACTTTTCAAAACCTTGTGCACACCCAAGACCTAATCCAAGATATTGATTTTCCTATTTCTGATTGTTCTCTAACACAGATTTTCCTAGGCCCCCAGAAATGTATCATATGGGCTGACTTAGAATATAGTGGAGGATGGACTTTTTAAGACAGGCTCATGGGTTCACCTACCCTTTATGTGGATATGACACAAAATGGACTTAATTTTCAGATGCCTTAGCTAGGGAAGCAACCCTGTGTACTCAGACCTTTCTGTCCTCCCTGCCTCTGTATGATTCTCATCTACATGACGGCAAAAATGAAAATTAAATGAAAGTTAAAATGCAATAAAATGACTTGAGATGGATTGTCATTCACAGGGCTGCCATGAGAATCAAATAAAATAATGGACATCAGGAATAGGGACGGGATCTATGATTTAATTGGCACAGGAAACTCCCAGGTGAGGGAAAAGTCCCTCCATAAATGCTGGGCAATACCTTCTCTATAGTTCACAGCCTTAAGAGCTTCCTAGAGATTATGTGACTTTTGCAAGGTCACACAACCAGTATATGCCATTGGCAGGATTTGGACCCAGATTTGGAAAGAGGGTTGCCTGCCTCTCCACTATACCACTGCACAGAGTTTATAGCTGTGGTGGTGGGGCAGGGGGAAGCAAAAACAGCTTAATGATAGAGATAATAAGTGGTATTTACTTTTTATTTGGCACTTTTAAAAAAAGTTTGCAAGGCTCTTTACAGATATCACCTCATTTGAGCCTCACACTAACCCAAAGAAGTAGGTATTTATATATACATACACCCACACCCACCACACACACACACACATATATATACATATATATATATATATTATTATTATTATTATTATCCCCATTTTATAAATCTGGAAACTAAGACTCAAAAAGGTCCAGTGACTTGCCCAAGGTCATACAGAAAAATGTCAGAGGCAAGATTTGAACGTAGGTCTTCCTGACTCTAAGAGCTATACTCTAGCCACTATGCAGTAGTAGGTGTAGACCCAAACATCATGGCACTTTAGGGGTGAGTGGGATGCCTGGGTGGAGATGTATCTCTATGAAGTTAGAGTATCTTGACTAGTTTAAATGTATTCATCCGTCAATTCATTAGAACAACTGATTTCTTGGATCAGCACTGCCCGCCCCATTAGCTATTTGCCTGGAATGACTGAATTACCCATTTGTCTTAGTATTGGATAGGTTTACCTCAGAATCTATATGAAGTTTGAGTTGACCTGTGGTGGCAAGTGGTTAAGTGGATATGATACTTGTGTGAAAGTGGAGATTTCCCTTTTGACACTAATGGCTCCATCCATGTGCACAAAGAGAGCATTTGCTGTCCTGTCTCTTACCAGCTACAATAACACCAGGAGGAACTGTGAAGGAATCCTTTGACAGGGAGGAGAATCAGGCATATTAACTTCTTTAGCGTAGAGCTTTGGGGAATGAAGTGTGTGTGTGTGTGTGTGTGTGTGTGTGTGTGTGTGTGTGTGTGTGAACTTTCCTCTTTTTCTAGTTCCTCTGCTCTAGAATGGCTAGTATGACCTCTGACATATACTGGCTTTGTGACCCTGGGCAAGTTACTTAACCTCTCAGTACACTGGGAAATTCTCTGACTATAAATTGCAGAGAAGGAGCTAACCTAGTATTAAGAGAAGGAATTTCCTCACCCAGAAGTTCCCTATTTTATACCTCCCATACCTGGGGTATAACTATGCATAAAGCAGGAATTTTAATTTAATGCAATTTTGATTAATTAATTAAGTTAATTTAATTCAAATGCTCATTTTATGAATAAAGTAAGTGAATGTATACACAGATGAATTTTTGGAAAGAACTTTCCAGCTCTCTGGGTTATTTTTATTACACACAGTCTTTGAAAAAAAAACAGGAGTATTTATTTCTATTTCTCATGTTTTAATCTCATTAACTTGCCCGAGCACCCAAGAAGAATGATTTAAAGTAAGACATAGCTATTTGTGACAGCAAGAATTGTTTGTTGGAATATTTGTAAATGACTCATCTGAATCCCTGAAATCCCTTGCCAATCATGCACTAAGGAAGTCATTTGTTATCTGATACTGACTCTAACTTTTCTCATACAACTTAAAAGAATTTTTAAAAATGTAATCCCTGGAGAACTGGGTTATGCTACCATTAGCTTGATCACCTTCATAAAGAAAAGCTCTTTTGATAGCATACTAAATAATTTAAACAGAATAAGTATTGGCTACTTAGGTATGTGTTTATGAAAGATAAACACTTGTGTGGTGGAATCAGTCATGAGAACAGAATAGAAAACATTCTTTGTCAGGTGAAACTTAAGCAAAGACTGATTTCTGTTGGCAAGGGGGTCATGGTTGGATTGCTCATAGAATTCCTTCAACACATTTATTTAATGAGCTCTAAACAAAAGCTATGGTCTCAGTTTGTTCATTGTAACCAGCTAAATGTTTAGTAATAAATCTTAAAGGGGGATGGGGTGGAAGGTTGTTAAGTGGGAGGATTGAGATGCTTTGCTATTTATTGATTTTTATACTTATTTTACTTTTGCCACCAGTTTTCCTTCTAATATTCTTTTTTCCATCTGTTTTAGGCCCACCTGGACTACCAGGTAAGATACCATTAAATCTCCAGTAACATGGGAAGGGTGACTGGACATTCCTCCATCAGGTTTAAACACAGCAGGCGTGTGGGGGAAGGAGAAGTCTGACATAAGTCTGACAATTCTGAGCATCCAGTTTCCTGTCTACCATCGGAGAAGGGAAGGAGAGGGAAGAAGAAGGAGCTAGCTCCTTTTCGCAAATTGTCTTTAACATCCTGGATTCAGCTCTGCAGCTTTTTACCCTGCTTTTTATATAATGCCTATAAAAAGATTGAATTAATTCCAGACCAATTTAAAGCTAGTGCTGCACATTCTGCAAATATTCACTAATTTTGTGTTTTGGTTTAGGACCCCCAGGAATGAATGGGTTACCAGGACACAATGGATCAGATGGATTGCCTGGCATTCAAGGAGCAAAGGGAGAAAAAGGAGCAAATGGGAAAAAAGGAAAAATGGGTATTTTGGCAAAATTTATAAATAATTCTCTTATCCTATGTGTTTGTGGTTGCATTTGAAGAAAAATGAAAACTGGTGGTTGAGAAACTAGGTAACTTTTGATTCCGCGATATCCTCTAAACCTTTGTGTTCTGGTCTGCAGGCTCTTCTCCTCTCCCCCAACCCCTAGCCAAACCTTGACAAATTGTCTTTTAAAACTTGGAGAAAGTGATCTCTCCAGCTGGCTTCTGAACCCCCAAAGCTGTCTTGAATCAGATCAACCCTGAAGTCCCCCAGTTCAGTGCCAGTGGTGCCCTTTCTGCTCTCTTCTCTATCTCCACTATCCTTCCTTCTCCACCCTAGAGCCTCGTATTTTGACTCGTTTTATTAATGTCAATTCCACATGCATTTATTAAGCATCTGTTAGGTACAGGATACACCCAGGTCCAGGAATACATAGATAAAAGTGAAACAGTCCCTGCTTTCGAGGAGTTTGCATTCTATGGGGCTATGCGATGTGCACATAGGCAAGTACATGGAAAAGACACAGAAAGCATCCAAACACATTTCAGGAGGGAAAGAGCTCCAACAACTAGGGGAATCAGGAAAGGTCTTGTGTAGGAGGCAGAGCTCCTGAGCTGTGCTTTGAAGAAAAAGAGGGGATCTACAAGGTGGAGAAAAGGACAGAGTACATTCCAGTCATAGGGAACCCACCTGGGTAAGGGTTTGGTGGTGGGAACCATTTGGGGAAAAGCTACAAGTCCATTTCACCCAGAACACAAAGCATGAAGGAGAATAATATTAAATATTAATATTAAATGTCACTAAAGTTAGGTAGGAGTTTTGTTGTAGAAGTCTTTGAATTTCAGGATGAGGATTTTGTACTTTATACAATAGGCAGTAGAGAGCTATTGAAACAGGTGAGCGACATATTCAGTTCTGCGTTTTAAAAATAAAAATTTGGCAGCCATGTAAGGCATCAAATGGAGAAAGGGAAGATCAGAAGCCGGGAGTCTAATTAGG